TTCGCTCGAGCGAGCCTGGTGTATATTAGTTACCAGCAGCGCCGTTTTTCTTCACTTTTGATTTCCTTTTCACTTAAAAACCCTAAATCTGCAGCTCCTCTCTCTAGAAGTCACATTCTCTCTTTGATTTCTCCAAACCCATTGGGATTTAAGCCTAAGTTTTTCACTAAAGTTGGTCATCACCTCGAGGGCTTCGTTGAGTGCGGTGGATATCGAGTTTCGACATCGTAAATTTTGGGGTTTCATCTCAATTTTTCTTCAAAACTTGAGGTAGGGATTTTCTTAGAGTTATATATATATTTTTGCAATATCTAGATGATTTTCGAAATCATCTTTCAATAGCTTTGAAAATTGATTGTTGATTCAAGAAGTTGAACGATTTTGAAAGTGGGTTTGTCTCTTATTCTTTTAAAATGATCTTATGGGTTTTGATCTTCGTTGATTGAAGAAAAGATGATTTTGAAAAGTTTTCTTTTAAAAGATTTGAGTTGTATAGTTTTGGTGAAAAAACCTAGAATTTGGGGATTTTTTAAAAAGGAGACTGAAAATCTATGAATGATATTGTTATATTTATTTTGTGTGTCAAAATAAATGAATGTTTGGAAATTTTCTTATTTATATTTATATAAATGATGAATTTCAGGGAATATGAGAATTGTTGTTCATTTTAGAAATTATTGTTCAAAGCGTTGAAATAGTCTTGAAATGACTAATTGTTGAGGATACTTGAGAAGAGGGAATTATGTTATTCCTTGGATGCTGAATTGGAATAAAAGTATTTATATTCATCTTGTGTTATTGGCATATCAATTCATTTGATTACATTAAACTTTGAAAGTTGATTTGAAAACTTGCATTGAGAAAAGAATGTTGAGAAACAAGTTTTCATGAATTGGTTTTGGGGTAAATACGGTGGTAAGTCTTGATAGGTGGTGTAGATGAAATTGAATAGGTGTCGAGCCTTCCAGTTAATACTGGTAAAAATAACAGATTATAGGTGTCGAGCCTTCCAGTCAATGCTAGTATAAATGACAAATTTGTAGTACTTATATAGTCTACTTGCAGACACCGACCTAGGAATTACAAGAGTCGTATTTACCGCTCTTAAAATAAATTATTAAGTTTTGAACAATTGAAATTGCATGACATCATTGAGCATGATGGTTTTCAAAAGATAAAAATGTGATTTATCTTCAAAAAGGGCATAGCATGACATGTGCATTTCATCGCTCGAGCGGGATTATCACCCATCCAGTTCTTCCTGTGCAGTGTTGGACGCTCGAGCGTGGGATTAGACACTCGAGCGGAAATGTGTGAGTGCCGCTCAAGCGTGGAGTTGGACGCTCGAGCGGGGACCTGGTTCTGCAAAAGTACTGGGAGTGCGTATTCGACGCTCGAGCGGGAGTTTGGACGCTCGAGCGGGGAGTCGACTACATCAGTCCGTGATTTCACTTTTTGGATCACTTTTTGACCTACTTTTCTTTCTTAACTTTTTAAAAACCGCCCCTTGAGAGTCTCTCTCTCTCTAGACCTGCCTTCTCTCTCAGAATTGATCTACCTAGGGTGAGTATCTAACCTTAGTCCTTTATTAAAAAGATAGAGTGAGTCAAGGGCTTCCATTTAATCTGAACGTTTGGTGGTTTGGAGCACTTTGGAATTTAGGTCTTCATCTCCGTCTTCTCCATTCGGGTTATTTTCTTCGTGGTAGGGATTTCCTACTCCATCCTATAAGTTTTGTTCTAAGTTTTGGTATTTTGATATGTTGGGAGTACTTTGGTAATTTTGGGAAAAACCCTAGTTGTATTAATAAATTAATTTGTATAATTAATTTAAGGAAATTGGGGAAATTGGTTAAATGCATGAAATTGAGGAATTCATTGATTAAATGGTGTAGCTGGATAATTAAAATCACTCGCCTATTGAATTGTTGATATATTTACTTCCAGTCTAGAAATAACTGTTTTGGGCTATCGGTGGAGGATAGTCGTGTTTGTTGTAGACATTGCATGTGGATTAGGGAAAATTGAAACTAATCAATTTGTTTAAGTCATAAATTTAGACTATTGAATTAATACAGAAATTACATATATTGATTGAGCATTGCATTTGCATATTGTTTGGGAGGAGATAGGGGATGTACTCCACGGTTTAGGGGAAGATAGGGGATGGACCTCTAAACCGGATTTTGTTTGGGAGGAGATAGGGGATGGACTCCATTAGCATCACTATTATGTGTGCTTATTATATTGAAGTGTTTTTACATGTTATTGATACAGCACTACAATGTGTATCAAACGGGAAGTATGAAGTGTTTTGATATGAGCCTGAGTCTCATTTGTTTTGTTGATATTGAAAGTAATGTGAATATGATATATAGTTCACTGTTGTAAGTTTGGCCAGGTTCTGAGCCATGTTGATAATAATGGAAAGTGAAATGTGTCTTAGACATTAGTGTCATGAGACTGTACAATGATACAATTGATTATCTTGGTTAACCATCTATTGAATGCTATAGCTTTATTCAATGCTTATATTTGGTTTAGTATTTTTCTACTGGGCTGTGGCTCACCCTTTATGGGAACATCATTTTCAGGTTCAGGTGATAAGCTACCTCCAAGGACTTAGCTTGGAAGGATTTGACTTTTGGATTTTAAGGACTATCTTCAGTTAGTTGTTTTGATTTGATAGTACATGTAAACATTCAAGCCTAGGGCTTTACTTGTATTTGAGTTAGAACTCATATTTTTGTGTCCAAGTGTTGGCTTGGAAAGATGTAAGCCCGTAGGGCATTTAATTTGACGTTACATGTAATGCTTTTAGTTAGAAATACTCTGATGAATGAGATAATGAATTGTTTACTTTAAATATTGCATGTCAGTGACAAATATATAATGAGTCTATTTTGAGAGCGTTACATTACAGGTTTTGTTTTCGCAAACTTATTGTAATTTTTTTGTGTTCGTATAGCATTCTACTAATTAGAAATTCATTTGACAGTGTCATCGTGTCGACCACCACCGCAACAGTAGTATCTTTTCCAATAGCAACCTGCTCTATCCCAGTAGTGACTTTGACGGTTATTTCAACAATGAAATAACAGGATCTTCTTCGATATCCTTAGAAATGCCAATGGTGCCAGAGGAAGACTACGTTGCAGGGTTTAGTTTGGGAGTTATTTATTATATAGCTGGGGATGAATGCTCCATAGAATTAGATGATTTTCCATACGCCATTATTAGTGATAAAATTAATGGCATTGATTTGACTTATACCCCAACCTTCTTCGGCATCCCTGGGAGTTATGGAGATTATATTTGGATAAGCCATGTAGAAATTGAAGAATATTTTGGGTATCAAATTAAAGGTGGTGAGCAATTTGAGGTTTCTTTCATTATGACGCGATCTTTAAAACTGAAGAAGTGTGGGATCGATCTGATTATCCAGTGTGACAGAGGCTCCACGAAAAACTACTGTGGATTGAGGTGGTTGAGTCGGCTTTCTACGACTCTGTTTGAGAATTGATTATTTTAGTTGATTTTTTTATTTTTTTTTAGAAGACGTATAAAAAATAAAGAAAGTGTGATAATTTATGATGACTTTTTTATTACAAATTCAAGTCCCCAAACTGGTCTACATATCACCTAGGGTGATTATCAAAATTGTCACTAAAACATCAATTTTAATGGGGTCATCTCATCACACATTTTCCTTTACATAAATTAGGTGTGGTCGCAATCGTCGGAGTCTTCTGTTGGTAGATCATGTTGGGACAAGTTGTGGAAGAAGGTATGGCAGCTTAAAGTTCCGAATAAAATCAAGGTGTTTGTATGGAAGGGGTGTAATGATATTCTGCCGGCAAAAACGTTGTTGTAAAGTCGAAGAATTCCTATTGATGAGACGTGGTTAGGCTGTGGTGTAGATCGGGAATCGTTGATGCATTGTCTTTGTTATTGTGATTTGGCGATGCAGGAGTGGGAGCTAAGTCCTTTGAGGAATCTGATTCAATGGGCCCAGAATCAGGAATTCATAGAGTGGTTTTGGCAGGTAATGACCCATGGGAATGAGTCAAGTTTGGGATTGGTTGTTGCTTTATGATGGGGTATTTGGATGTGGCTCAACCAATTGATTTTGGTCAAGTGCAGCAAAAGAATTCAGGGTGCATTGCAGCGAGAGAGAGATGTTTATTGGTATGCTTCGGGGGAGGGTTGGCTTAGCCAAGACAACTTCGGTTCTGGGTGAATGCCAATTGTAACGAAGCATTTGCAGCAGCCAAGGCAATTGCTTTGGCGAGGGATCTGGGTTTTTGTGATATTATTATGAGTGTGGCCATATTTTATCACAAGTGGTGGGTGCCAGTTGATTGCTTCGGCAATTTCAAGCTATCCATGTGAGGAGGCAGGGTATGTTGGCGCTTGGACTTGCTAGGATGGCTCGAGGTTTGAACCACCAGAGTGTGGATGGAGGAGGTCCCGCTGGCCTTGATTGATGTTGCTTGCTAGTTTGCTTTGCTTTGTGTTTTGTTTTTTTCTACCATCTAAAAAAAAAATTAGGTGTGGTCGTGATATTTTCTTTATTTGTAGAAAGGATAAAAATAAATTACAAATACACTCTCTAGAGAAACTAGTAAGTTTTCCTTCATTTTCCCATATCTCTTTAATCCATTTTAAGACTCTGTAGATTATAGATTTGAATAGTCTGAATCCTTCCTACAAAATTAGGCCATCATTCATTCATCATCCATATTTGATGAAAAAAACTGTTAGGAGAGAGAGTCCCAACCACCATTCAATCTGATAATTATTTCTTGGAGAACACGAATAAGACAACACACACATGAATAAAGTCACATGTTCATATCGACAAGTCTCTTTCCTCCGTTATCTTCTTCCCCAAGAAGAAAAAAAAAAAAAAAAATAAAAAAAAAAAAAAGTCACCAAGTAAAAGCATAACCGACCATTCATCCCATTTTGCCTATAAATATTTGAGCTCCTTGCATTGTCACTCCTCATAGAATATTCATTCACCAGGCAACCTTCAGAGATTTAGACAAACACTTGAACAACAATGATGTCTGGGTGTGGCGAGCATCATCATCCATTGGTCACGGTGTTCACAACTTAGGACACCACACAGCCCCAGTGGACATAATGAACACGACAGCTTTGCAGCTTGTCATAGCGGAGGACATCATGGTCACGGCTGGGGACATCATATTCATCATGTTCACAGTGAACATCACGGACATGGTGGCTGTGGTGGTTGTCACCATGGAGGATGTCACAGTCATGGTGGGAGACATCATGGTCACGGTGGTGGCAATCCTGGCAAAAGGCACCATTGCAATGGCGGACGTGGAGGTCACAGCAAGGGACATTATCATGATGTGGCCATCGTTGAGCATGTCAGTGCCCCTGAAATTGTGACAACTAGTGGATAGATAGATTCTTCCAGTTGAGAATTTTAGCAGTCCTCTGAATTGAAGAAGCAGCAGTGTGTTCATGTATTACTAGATTTGGAGAGAGAGAGAGAGAGATAATTTCCTTTGGCGTACTCTGTATTGTGCTAAATATTGAACCAGCTTGAGTTGTTTCGTTAAAGGTGGGCTGCAGTAATATATATAATTTGAGTGTAAATTTTCATGGAGTAATGCTTATACATATACAATTTTTCAATCCATACTGCACGAACCATTATTGGATTAAATCAACAAATATTCGTAGTTTAACATACTTAAAACGAATTACTCAGTGCACAAGCTTCCCGCTAAAATAGGGTCTGTCAACTGGACATAAATTTAACATGCTTATATTACCTCAAAAGAAATTAGAACATCAAAAAACAACTCCAAACTCTCACTATACATGGTCGACAATCATAAATTACTCTGATCTCTCCTGGTTGGCAGCAATATCTTTAAGCATTTCCTTCAGCTCGCCAGTCTACACAACAGACCAAACCATCAAAACAATGAATCCCAGGCTTAAGAAGAAGAGCAATTTTGATGTGATAATACCTGGTGCATGTTAAGAATGACGTCTGATCCTCCGATGAACTCCCCCTTGATAAATATTTGTGGAAATGTAGGCCAGTTGCTGCAAGGATAGACCATGAGACTAATTCAAACAAGTACACGAAAACTACATATTTTACCAACAATTTTGGACCAAATTGGTTGCTAGGTAATGATCAGTACATGGCTTAAACAGCAATTCCATTTGCAAATGTATGTTTCTTGATATTAATTTGTATCACTAAAACATGACAACTTAGTGCACTTCTCACAAATTATACCAAAAGCATGTGTAACTGATGAACAGCCAACATTGTGGATATTTGACATAAACTGCATCCTAAAAAATTCAATTAAGATTTGGCCATGTCTATGAAGTAACACATTAAGCTATCTTTTGAAAAAGATCTTTCATGTACCTGAATCTCAATAGGCAACATGGACTAAATGTTAAAAGTTGAAATAGCAGGAAATTTGATCAATTAAAACTTGTCCGAAGAAGTGTTCATGGGCTTCTGAACATATGTTGCTGTGGGCATGTATTCTTAGCCACTACTGGATATGGATCATTTGATTAAGTAATTTCTAAAACCACTTGAAATGAATGCTATTCAAATACCACCTAAGGAAATTCTTTGAATTGCTGCCACCCTAGGTTAAACAAAAATGTATGTACTCTGATTCCAATATCATGCTTCTTGAAACAAGTTTTCTGCTTCGATGTAATTTAAAAAAACAAAAAAACAAAAACAAAAGCTAAAAAATACATTGTTTCCAGTAAGAAATTTCAGTGACATCAGCTACTTCTAGTTCTATAGCACCAGGACAATTGACAAAAACCAATTCATGTATTCACTGGCTCAATGTCTTCGCATATCAAACACCACCAAAAAAAAAAAATGTGATCGAATTAACAAAACATGCAGTCATACACCTTGAATGTAAACAAAACATGTAAACTAAAATCCCAACTTATTACAAACATTTCCCCTGGTGCCAACCCAAACATCCCAATTATAAACAATAATGTTGTGGGTTGTATTTGTTCAGGTGGCCTACAGATGGCCTTCAGGGAAGAACGTGGGTACTGAGATATCAAAGCAATCACCAGTGAGTGAGGAGGTGAGAGATCAAGAAGCCTTAGAAGACCGAGAGGGCAGTGGAGAGGTCTTGCTGTATACCAGAGATGGAGAAGATGGTTGATAATGGAGGATGCTTCAACGTCAGCATAGAACCCTTTTATATAGGGTGGTCGAACCATGGCGACCAACTCACTCTTCGGCCCAAGGTTCTGAAAAGCGGTTGCAGTCGCCGTAACGGTGGCGGTGGCGGTGGCGCGGTTGCGGTTGCGGGGTGTAAAGGCCGTAGTGTAACGGTTGCGGTAACCGGAACCGTGAATTTTTTTATTTTTCGCACAATTTGAAAAAAACGTATCGATACGCATATTCTTTTTCCATGATCATATTTATTGGGTTAAAAATAAATTTTTATCAATTTTTGTAAATTTTTAAGTATGATCCAATATATTTGATTTTTTTAAATCACTATAAAACTGAGTTTTTTATATTTTATTTTAATAATTAATGACTTTATATTATACAAAAAATCAATCACTAACTATTATATATAAGATAAACAATGACAAAAGTAAGGGAATAAATAAGTGCCTAAATATATATATATAAATAAACATATTTTCACCAAGCCAAATAAATAATCACCACAATTATTATTATTATTATTTTCAAACAATATATAGATAGACACATACAAACAAAATGGTTGAGTGATAGCAGCTGAATAGAATAACATAGGTCTTACAGTTTCAACAAATCAATAACATGTTCTTCATCTTCCCTCTTCTCTCTCTCTCTATCTCTTGCTCCTCCATTTTCTCTCTTTATCTTCCCTCTTCTCTCTATCTCTCTTCCCTCATTTTCAGCTTTTTTTTGTGTGTTTTTTTTAAAGAAACAGTTTGGAACCGTTACGTAACGGTACGTAACAAGCCGTTACGGCTGTTACGGCGCCGTTACGACCGCTATAGCGGCCGCTACGGCCGACACATCTGTGAATTTCAATCACACTGCAAAAGCGGCCGTAACGGGTGGCGGTAACCGCCAAAACCATTACGTAACGGCGTTACGTAACGGTTGCGGCCGCTTTCTAAAACCTTGCTTCGGCCCCATTTGTTTGAGGTTATAGGGAGGGGATTGAGATTGATAGTGAGGTGGGACCCATTACATGGGACATTTGTTTTGAGAAATGCAGAGATGACTCCTAATCCTTTAGTATTAGGATATGCCTTGAGCCTTGAAAGGGGAATTGGGATGGAAGAGGTGGAGATGGTATTAGAAAAATAGTCCTAAGGACTAGAAATTTTTAATTTTTTTTATTTTTTACATGTTGGGCCTTTTTTTTTAACATTAATGCTTAATTTTTTTGTATTTTTTGTTAAGTAAAAATCATTGTTTTATTTGCTTTTTTTTTTCTCGAAATTTTTTATTTTATTTTAATTTTTTACATTTTGGGCATTTTTTTTAACATTAATATTTAATGTTTTTATATTTTTTTATTTGTTTTATTATTTTATATTTATTGTATATAAAAATAATTTAACAATACCTACACTAACAACTATCATCAAAACAAACACAATTTTACTTAATCCCCTCACTATCAATCCCCTCACTATTAATCCTCTCATTATGAATCTCTTTCATTCTATCTCTGAAAACAAAAGGGGCCTTGGAGAGGTAGCTAACCCTCCCTTGTTTTGACAAGAATGAGGTATCCCATCCACTTCTACTACCTAAGATTATACCTTGGGATTTGTATCATAAGAGCAACAATGGTAGGCATTGTGGGGGGCTTCAGTGTTGCATATGATACAATTTCCAAATATCAAATCTTGATTAGAGCACCTCTCTCTCTGAGACTGATCAAGGTGCAGACACCATCAAGGTAGGGGGATGGAAAGGCACCAAAATGAATCCCTAACTCTAACCTCTAACCCACATACCTAGAGTGATCCCCCAGACAAGGATTCCTAGGCCCAACACTCAACCTAGGTCATCATTGGATGATGGTATTGGAGATGTCTTGATCAGTAGGAGACAGCTTTACAGAGAAAGAGAAGACGAGACATAGTGGGGTCATGGTCTGGTGAAGGACCCCTCAGCCAAGACAAATGAGATCAGAGCCATGTTGCCCCTGAGTAGAGTTAGTTGAGCAGCAATGCCTTGGACCCTCAACACAATTGAGTGGTGCTCTGGCCACGCCTCGGGATGCCCTATGTTGGCTTCTAGTTCTATAGCACCAGGACAATTGACAAAAACCAATTCATGTATTCACTGGCTCAATGTCTTCGCATATCAAACACCACCAAAAAAAAAAAATGTGATCGAATTAACAAAACATGCAGTCATACACCTTGAATGTAAACAAAACATGTAAACTAAAATCCCAACTTATTACAAACATTTCCCCTGGTGCCAACCCAAACATCCCAATTATAAACAATAATGTTGTGGGTTGTATTTGTTCAGGTGGCCTACAGATGGCCTTCAGGGAAGAACGCGGGTACTGAGATATCAAAGTAATCACCAGTGAGTGAGGAGGTGAGAGATCAAGAAGCCTTAGAAGACGGAGAGGGCAGTGGAGAGGTCTTGCTGTATACCAGAGATGGAGAAGATGGTTGATAATGGAGGATGCTTCAACGTCAGCATCGAACCATGGCGACCAACTCACTCTTCGGCCCCATTTGTTTGAGGTTATAGGGAGGGGATTGATATTGATAGTGAGGTGGGACCCATTACATGGGGCATTGGTTTTGAGAAATGGAGAGATGACTCCTAATCCTTTGGTATTAGGATATGCCTTGAGCCTTGAAAGGGGAATTGGGATGGAAGAGGTGGAGATGGTATTAGAAAAATAGTCCTAAGGACTAGAATTTTTTTATTATTTTTATTTTTTACATGTTGGGCATTTTTTTTTTTTAACATTAATGCTTAATTTTTTTGTATTTTTTGTTAAGTAAAAATCATTGTTTTATTTGCTTTTTTTTTTCTCGAAATTTTTTATTTTATTTTAATTTTTTACATTTTGGACATTTTTTTTAACATTAATGTTTAATGTTTTTATATTTTTTTATTTGTTTTATTATTTTATATTTGTTGTATATAAAAATAATTTAACAATACCTACACTAACAACTATCATCAAAACAAACACAATTTTACTTAATCCCATCACTATCAATCCCCTCACTATTAATCCTCTCATTATGAATCCCTTCCATTCTATCTCTGAAAACAAAAGAGGCCTTGGAGAGGTAGCTAACCCTCCCTTGTTTTGACAAGAATGAGGTATCCCATCCACTGCTACTACCTAAGATTGTACCTTGGGATTTGTATCATAAGAGCAACAATGGTAGGCATTGTGGGGGGCTTCAGTGTTGCATATGATACAATTTCCAAAATATCAAATCTTGATTAGAGCACCTCTCTCTCTGAGACTGATCAAGGTGCAGACACCATCAAGGTAGGGGGATGGAAAGGCACCAAAATGAATCCCTAACTCTAACCTCTAACCCACATACCTAGAGTGATCCCCCAGACAAGGATTCCTAGGCCCAACACTCAACCTAGGTCATCATTGGATGATGGTATTGGAGATGTCTTGATCAGTAGGAGACAGCTTTACGGAGAAAGAGAAGACGAGACATAGTGGGGTCATGGTCTGGTGAAGGACCCCTCAGCCAAGCCAAATGAGATGCAGAGCCATGTTGCCCCTGAGTAGAGTTAGTTGAGCAGCAATGCCTTGGACCCTCAACACAATTGAGTGGTGCTCTGGCCACGCCTCGGGATGCCCTATGTTGGCTAATCTTGTGGTGCCATGGCTAAAAGTTAAGGCACTGAGCATGTTAGCTAGCCAAGCTAACATACTTGATGGTTTGTATGCCCCGCTTAGGATAGACTCATCACAACCCCAACTAATATAACAAACAGCCGCATTGCCATGTGATAGACCTACAAAAAGACATGCAATGATAAAACATATGTAATGCATATATATGGCATACAATATAGAAATGTTTCATTGTAGCCAAATTCATCTCAATTTCAAACATGTTTATGCATCATAGCGTTAGAGAATAGAGGTCACTTTAGTAATAGGAGCTCACCTCTAAAACCTGCTTTCCAGTAAGTAATAATTGACCATCTTGCACCTCTGATTGCAGAGTTTTAACTAAATCTAGTGAACCTTCTCACAGTTTTAGTCCCCCTACATTATGCAAATCCTCAACATAAATCCTGCATATATATACATATGCATAATAAAGTAATTTAAATTCAAATAAGGATAATGTGAGATGAAAATGCAGAGAAGAAATTGCTTAGAAACCCTCATATTTACCAGGGACCAAGTCAGAATTGGATAAATGGAAAATCTCCTGAGTACTCACCCTTCCCTAGTACAAAAGATGAAACATTTGCTTTTTTTAGTCATTCCCAGCAACATAATCGACTTGTGTTTGGTCTGTTTGGTCGCTCAGAAAATACAGTAGAATCAAAACAACTAAATTTTTTTAATCTGTTTTACATTGTGAATAGATTAGTTCTCATATCACTGGAAACCAACTAGAAATCTCATATATTTTGGAATGGTAAAACAAACAATGGGTTGAAAATATTTACCTTGAGCAAAGTGCGTCCACTCAAATGTACAGGCTCCATTGTATATGTCTCAGATGATGAAACCTGTTCCAAATAAAATTACCCACAAAAACCCTAAATTAGATACATGCATATTATAAAGATACATATACAAAGAGGATTATGCAATGGAAATACCTCTGAGGGAAGAACTTCAAGGGAAGGAGGTGGGGGAGGGAGGGAGTTTTCAGAAGAATCCAGAAACCCTAAACCTAACTGGGTTTTATCATCCGAAGAAGAAGAAGAGAACAAAAGAAAGGAGTCGAGTCCTCATACCTGATTGCTTTGCCGCCATGAAATCGAAGTCTTCAGCTGTGGAGTTTGCTTGGAGAGCTCCTGAACCTCTGGGATTGTAACTAATCACATTTTCAAATACTAGCAACGGGCATGTGCAATTTCTTTTAGAATTATAATATGAATTTTGTTTGCAAAACCCTATTTATAATTTGTCAATTTACAATTACAATTTTTATAAAAAAAAAAAAAACAACAACAACAACAACAAATATTAACTCCACACCTAGGCTAAACAAAAAAAAGTGAATAGGTGAAACAAAATTAAAAAGAACAAAAAAATCCACTAAGGTTGTGTTTAGATTATAAATTTAAATAGGGTTTTACAAACAAAAAAGAAACGATGAGAGAAATGCAAATAAAATATAAGCCAATTTTTTTCTCTATTTCCCTTGTATTTTCCTTTCATTTTTCAAATTCCTACCCAATCCATGATCCAAATACAACCTAAATATATGATTGATTTCAACTTGACTTTTGTTGAATGGAAAACCCATAAATTATGTGTATCAAAAAATGAGAAAAAGAAATTATTGAGTGATAATCTGGGAGTAACAATGTATATAGCATATGTATAAGAATATGTGGATATTCATAAATCTATTGATATTCATCCATCAATATCTTTAAAAAAATAAAATAAAATAAAAAAAAGGAAATTGAGAAAGCATGAATTCGAAAAACATAATCAACAATATTCAAACAATTTCAATTCTGTTATATCCAGAAAGCGATTCAGATTCAAAACAGTTATACAGATTGGGGACATAGCTATGTTTGTTTCTTTGATAAAACTATCAAAAGATTAACTAATGAGAGTCGAAATGCAGAGAACTTATCATGTTACTCTTAACTACAAATTGATGTTAGTGTAAAAATAATGTAATTATTTAAGAAGTTATGACTATTTTAGGAAAAATGAAAAAAAATTCTAAGAGAGGTTTCAGGACACCAAAGTTCCTGTTGGCTTTTAATAATAGTATAGATATTTTCTAACAAAATCTTTTTTTATTTATTTATTCTAAGATAAAATTTAAAAGAAATAAATAGTGAAAAGTGAAATTAGTAAAAAATGAAGTGAAAGTAAAGAAAATAAAAGAAAAATATATCTTACGGCTAAAGTTTGGTACCATATTCTTCATTTTTTATTAATTAAAATATAAAAAACGTAATCCTTTGTTTTATCTAATTTCTTTTTTATTTATATTTCCAACACTATTCTTTGTGAGTGTTTAGAAAGTTGTTATTTTAGTAAGTTGTTTTAATTTTTGACTATTTTAGTAGGTTAAAATTTTTGTATTTGAAAAGATAATTGAATTTTTTTGTAATTGAATATGATATTTGTGAGAGAAAAAATAAAATGATTATGAATTTGATGTGACATTATGTCACTCGTTATGTTAGCCTATTTTATAATTTTGTAAATTTTAGTCAAAAAAATAGCCTAAAACCCACTTGCTAAATAGGGCCATAATATTAATGTAATAAGTCTCATTTCAAACACCAAAATTTTATCATTACATGAAATATTAGTTATTAAAAACTATTTATAAAAATTATGTTTGTTTGTTTGTTTGTTTGTTTGTTTTTTTTTTTTTTACAGGAAAATCCTCCCTACCCTCCCGCAGGTCTAAGGCAGCGCCCCTTGCAGAGATCACCAGGGTGTCCTATTAGCCTTTTCGAGCGAGGATATTATAACTTGAGAACTTGTCCCGACCTCCCAAGACAAGTTCCGCTTAAGTCAGGATTCGTACAGTGAAGGAGTATTAAACCCACACCAAGTGTTGATTATATAATTTGAGATCCAACTTCCTAACCAACTGTACTTTACCCAAGAGATTGACTTAAAAAGAAAAAACAAAAATGCTAGAGGCCCAAAAAATTCTACCAAATGTCTCACATGGGTGTGGGATCCACATTGTGTGGGTCCCACACCCATATGAAATATTTGATAAAACTTTTGATAAAATATTTGAGATCTCTAGCATTACTCAAGAAAAAAATTAAACCTGCGGCTTTGAAATTTAAACCTCAAACCTTAACTACAATGGCATTATTGGAGCAAAATAAAAGAGAACAACAAAAATGAAGCACTATCATTCATTGTGATGTGAGCAAGAACAGTGCAAGTTGAATTTGTAAAAAGGGTGAGTTGGCAGAGCCAGACGCAATGGCAGAGCAAATGCAGGTTCCATTTGGGGCGTTTTGGCAGTTTTTTAAAGTTTTTCTTTTTTTTTTTTAATTGTTTTGAGTCATGTTATCTCCTTTTTATAAAAAGAAAAAATTATTATAAATTATTAATAAATTCTAATAGTTTGATTTAATTTTTATTAAGTCTTATTGAAAGTTAATCCTAGTAAAAATAATATTTTGTGATATTTTTTGCCTACGTTGCTAAAAATTGACAATTAGGGATTTTTTTATTGCAATTTTCATAAATTGTCGCTAAAACTTACAATTAGTGATATTTTTCTATGATCAATATTTTAAACTGTCGCTGAAAGTTAAAAATTAGTGACTTTTTGTGATGATTTCTTTTAAATTGTTGTTAAAATTTATAATTAGTGACCTTTTTGTAACAATTTTCAAATTGTCGCTGAAAATTAACAATTAGTGATATTTTTTAAATAATATTTGATAAAAAAAAACATTGTTAATTTATCACAGGACATGCTAGATAATAAATCTACCTATTAAAAGTTACACGTAAGTCCCTTTTTAGTTATTTACTTGGAATTGAAACATGCCTTAGGCCATGTCTAACGCTTTTAGTAAAAAAGTACCACTTTTTGTGCTTCAATGGTTTCATCAAACTTATATCAAATTGAGAAAAGCAAATGTTTTACCAAACTGAGGATCTGGGGCACTTTTCACCATTTTACTGTGCATGACCATTGAGGATGGGACCATCGGACGACTGGCTGGACGTTTGGCCGGATGTCCCCACGGTCATCCACTTTTGTAAACAATTTCCACAAAAATAGGTAACACAGAGTTGGAAAAATGATTTGTGCAACCATGACTTTTGGCTAACTTTAAGTCTAAATTGAGATGGACTCTGAGAGGGCAATTTATATATAAATTAGGCCGAGCTGGGTAATGGGCCGTTCTATGGGCCATAGTAAAAAAGGTTGAGTGAAAGAGCTTTGTAGTTAGCCCGGTCCAAAAAAGCTTTGTAGTTAGCTTGGTCCAGAGGAGCCTTGCAGATAGCCTGGTCCGAAAGAGCATGGTGGATAGCTCGGTTACCACGGTCGGCGCGGTGACAGTTAGCTCGGTCAAACCTTCTTGAGCCGAGGTATTTTTGGCTTCTACTCAGGACCTTACTATTGGGTAGCTCGGTCCAAGTACGATATGGTTAGCACGGTCTACAGGCGAAGCCGAGGTACATGTTACACATAAAGCGCCGGGATAAATGTAACATGAGTATCGTTAGCTTGGTTATATTGTCATTGTGCCATGGCAATGCTAGCTCGGTCGTTTGGACATACCACCGAGCTAGGACCATCTCACTTGGTTTAAGCAGTGGGGGGGTGTTGAAGGATAAGCATTATCTTTCAGGAGTGTGATTCCTAGGAGGACTCTGCATAGAGGAATAAGAGTCCTACTAGGATTGTGCCACGCGGAACCTATAAAAGCTCATAACATCACCTATGGAGAGATAACACAACTTTGATTCTCGAATACACAAAACTTTAGTCTATTTGTCTATTTTGCTGACTTAGGCATCGGAGAGGTATCTGGCATACACCCGTCGGCTAGCTCACGTTTGTGTTTTCAGGGAGTAAAGCGACGACGTTTGGAGGAGCGTGGACTTGATCAACAGGATTATACGAGAAGATTATTTCTTGCTCGGACAATTGGCGCCATCTGTGGGAATCACAGAAAGAACAAAACCTCTTGATCAAAGTTTTCCTCGCTAGATTAGACGCAATGGCGCACAATGAAGATTTGCCGCAATCCGCCATTGACGGGAAAACCCCAGAAGGAGGTGGGAGGCGCGAAGGTTTGCCTTCCATCCCTCCCATGGCAGATCTAAAGCCCCAGCGACAAAATCCCCGGAGAGATGCAAGGGGGAGGCGGGGTAACAGTTTCCGTTACTCATCAAGTTCTGATAGGCAGAGGCGGAGGATCGACCCTCAAGTTTGGAGGATCGGGTAAAGGAGCAGGACAAGTTAATCAGGAAGATGGCGGCGGACATGGAATTGATGAAGTGCCAGATAAAAGGGAAAGGGGTGGCGACAGGAGAAGGGCGCAAAAGCAATACGCCTCCTCGCTACTCAGAAGATCGTGGTAGGCATACCACGCCATCGCAAGCAAAGAATAGGAGCCTCGGAACAGGTGACACTCAATCAAGGACTTCCAGAACTCGTTAGTCCAGGTCTGAGAGAACGAGATCATTGAGGTCATACACTGAGGGAAGCACCTATCGGCCCTCACATACATACCAGACATCATCCAGGCAAACGGAGTTGCCTAAATCATCCGACTTACGGACTGTGCTTGAAGAAAGGACACGACGGAAAGAGGATGCCAGGGCACGCAACCCGCACAGAGTTTCAGCCCTTCAGCGGTTGGCTCCTTGGACGCATGGAAGCGTCGAGGTAGGAATGCTAATACCGTACCTTGCTTACGAACCAACAGATAAAGCATTGGCAAGGCTACATAGCACGCCGTTCGTTCCGGCGATTGAGAACGCACCCTTACCTTCAGGCTTCATCCAGCCTAAATTTACGACTTATGAGGGAAAAACAGACCCTTACATGCACCTAAGCCACTTTCGCTAAGTCATGGCAGTATACCGACGGAACGAGGCTTTGATGTGCATCCTATTCCCATCCAGCCTTGGCGACCTAGGTTTAACCTAGTTCGAAAGGCTACTGGAAGGCAGCATAGCCTCCTGGGCGCAATTAGCGGAGGCGTTCATGACAAGGTTCAGAATAAACACCAAGACACTAGTAGAAATCGATCAGCTACTCTACATTGATATGGGCGACAAGGAGACATTGAGATCCTACAACGGTCGTTATTGGGAGACCTTCAACTAGATAGGAGATTGCCCCACAAATCTCGCCATCGCGCA